ATAAGGGTAAAGGTACAGGGAATAAGAAGCATAACTGGTATGTACAAAAAAGACAGGAGGATATTAACAGTAGTATAGGAAATGGAGAAGCCAAAGAACTTATATTTATGACATGAATATAAACTAAGGGGTGGGGGAATGCTGGAAGAAATGAGGGTACTGGGAGGAGGAGGATAAAAGGAAGAAAAAAGAATGGGAGAACTGTAATAGCATAATCAATAAATCATATTTAAAAATAAATAAAAAGTTGGATAAAAATAAGTGAAAAAAAGAGAAAGAATGTTTATTATTCCAACAGGGTGAGGGACTGGAGGGCAGCACCAATCTGAACAAATTAAATTATGGGACTATGGACATCTTTGCAACTGTTAAAATTATTGCTCTTGAATTATATCAAGGAGTATGGGAAATACTTAAGATATCTACCTCTCTATCTACGTACCTATATTAACTTTATGTTTTGCTTTCATTTATTTTTTGAAGAAAAGCTCTAACTCTAAAATCTTAGGAAGTTTTTGAATTGCTCCAGTTTTATGTCTAGCCTGAAGGAGCTCAAGCCAGGGCCAGCTGGAGCACAGGATCTTGGTTACCAAACACACATTCACCACAATGGAAATCACCCAGCAAAGTCCCCATGCACCATACTAAATACTCCCTCATACTGTTCTTTGTAATGTATGCTTTCTTGGGCAAATATTTGCTATAAAATGTTAAATGTAAGCTTCCTCTTTTTTTATATAGACTAAGTAAAATGATTTATAATTTCCCTTTTCTAAATTGACAAGGTACTAAAGACAGTGTTTATCCTTCAGCTAGTGAGCATTTTGGGTAAACAGGCAAATATAACAAACATCACAATCTAGAGCACAATGGAATAAAATCTATTTTTTTTTTTGTAAAATAATTATGACAAGTACAAAAAATTGATTTTTTGTGATATTTTAAAAGTCTAATATATTTTTGAAAAATTTTCAGGAGATCACACAGCTAGTAAGGAAGAAAGTAAAGTGTAGACTATTTTCTAAAATTTCCATCCTTCTAACTCTGTCCCCTTTGGCAACTATCAGCTTGTTCTCTGTATGTAGGAGTCTGTTTCTGTTTTGTTTGCTCATTTGTTTTGTTTTTTAGATTCCACACAGTGAAATCATATGGTATTTGTGTTTCTGTTTGACTTATTTCACAGCACAATACCCTCTGTGTCCATCCACGTTGTTGAAAATGGCAAGATTTCATTGTATTTTATGGTTGAATAGTATTCCATTGTACATATGTTCCATATCTTCTTTTTCCACTCATCTATCAATGGGCACTTAGGTTGCTTCCATAGCTTGGCTATTGTAAATACTGCAGCAATGAACATAGGGGTCCATATATCTTTTAAAATAAATGTTTGTTTTCTTTGCATAATATCTACAAGTGGAATTGCTATATCATATGGCAACTTTATTTTTAATTTTTTGAGGCAACTTCATACTACCTTCCAGAGTGGCTGCACCAGTCTGCATTCCCACCAACAGTGCATGAGGGTTCCCTTTTCTCCACAGCCTCACCAGCACTTGTTGTTTGTTGATTTATTGATGATAGCCATCTTGAGGGTTGTGCGGTAATATTTCACCGTGGTTTTAATCTGTATTTCCCTCCTGATTAGTCATGTTGAGCATCTTTTCATATGTTTGTTGGCTATCTGTATGTCCTTTTTGGAGACATGTCTATTCAGGTCCTCTGTTTGTTTTTAAATTGGATTTTTTAAATATTAAGTTGTATGAGTTCCTTATATAATTTAGATATTAACGCCTTATCAGATATATCATTTGCAAATACATTCTCCCAGTCAGTAGGCTGTCTTTTTTATGTAGTCTCATTTGTTTATTTTTTCTTTTATTGCCCTTGTCCAAAGATACATACCCAAAAAGTTATTGCTAAGAGTAATGTTAAAGAGTAAAGTTTACTACCTATCTTTTCTTCTAGGAGTTTTATGGTTTCAGCTCTTACTTTCAAATCTTATTACAATTAAGTTCATTTAAATGAGCTTATTTTTGTATATGGTATAAGAAATTGGTTTAAAACTTAAGAGACGTATGTCCAGTTTTCCCAATACCTGATGAAGACTTTAAGTTTGAATAATAAAATTCTAATTCTGCTTTAAAAGAAAATGCACATACACATGACAGAGCACAGAGAAATGTGTGGAAGGAAGGATTATCTCTGGTGGGTGAGACTGAAGAGGGCAAGGGCTTTGACATTTTACATTTTTCCATTGCTTGAACTTGGTACAGAAAACATTTTTATTTTTGAAAAGGGAGACAAAGAAAAGGGTAAACTATATATCATAGAGGAAAATGGAAGGATTTACTTTAAAAATTATCTCTGGGTCATTTTTATTTTATAACAGACTTTTTAATATTCATATATATATATATATAATACATCTATAATCAGAAAAAAGTCATACAAGGAAAGCATCTATAATATCAATGGTAGAACCCATTTTAAGTCTGTTTGCAAAGCCAAAGGTTATAGGGCTGGGCATTTTTTAAAGAGGTTTGGATCCAATTTCTTTTATTTCTTTGGGGCTCATGATTACTTTTATTGCTGGTGAAGCTATTTCCACATTATTAAAAATGATTTCCATTCAATGTGGCCAAAAAGAAAAATCGAGGCCAACCACAAGACAAGCCTTCCTGAGAGAAGACAAAAAGCCTCTGTAACCCGTGGAAGAAAAACTTCACCAGTAGAACGTGATTCTTTTGTCATGAGTGACTTCAATTGCTGGTGGACAGAAATTTTTAATGAGAACAAAGAGCATCAGAGTGATTTCAGTGCTCTGCTTGTCATTCCAGGCCAAGCACACTAGTAACTTTATATTACAATGATGGAGACAAAGAACAAGGTGTCCCATTCACCACCAGGCTCCTGCAACCAGAGGGTCCTGGCCTTTGCGGAGCCTTTCACTGAAGTGGAAACCAGAAGGAACTCTCCAGGAGTGCAAGCAGGTAAATCATCATCAACCACATAAATAATGGCAGAACATGGGTAAGGAGATGAAAAGATACCTTCTGATCATTTACCAATGGAAAGATGTGCACTAAATCAGGGCCTTTTCTGTCCAACACTGTTGTTTTTACTGAACAGTTAAACACCCAAGGAAATACCAGTTGGGTTTTAAAGACAATTTATAACTGAGTTGGCCTCCTTGCACCTGGCTGTGTTTTGACAGCAGGTTTTGTCAGTTTACAGCAGAGATTCTTGTCTACACAATAAGCTGTCACCAATGCAAGTAGACCTCCCCCTTTTAATGAGAAGCAAAAGCCTCCTGCTGGTGGTAAAGCCTCAGCCTCTTCAGGGGAAATAAGGAGCCTCCTCAGAGTGAGAGGGCAGCCTCAGTGCTACAGCCCCTGAGTGGGGCTGGCCTGCTTCTGGGCAATGATGAAGGGCTCTTTCTGTTCTCTTCCCTGGGGGCTAACTGCTCAACACAACAGACTTGTTGTTTGGAGCAGGATTCTGCTCTCTCCTCCCAGCTTCTACACCATGCTAAGAATGTCAGGGAACCTTGCAATAGCCCAGCCTGAGAACACTAGGCAGTGGCTTTAGGGGATAGCTCCCTGCCCATCTAAAAACAAAGGTGAGTCTTGGCTATTTAGGCCAGATCTCAGACAGATCTAAAGCTGTTTCCCTGAAATTCTTGTACCCAGAAAGGTGCCTGGTTAGGAGGGTACCTCCTTAGAAATCACAGCAGCTCATTTTCATACATATGAGTTAAAAGCACTTGCCTCCCAGGACCAAGTGCTGCCTTACCCGCCCATGCTTTATTTTGTCTTTTTGAGACTCAGGATTTTATTCTTTCTTTGTTTCCAGAAGGATTGGGCCAAACAAATAACTTTTAACAGGTGACCCCCAAGACAATGCAATCTTCTTAGGAATGAGCTCATGGAGGCTGGTGGCTGACATTTTTCCCCGTGTGGTAGGGACAGGACAAAGATGTCAGGAGAGGGATTAAAAGGTAATGGAGAAGAGCCTGCCTGTTCCTTAATTTCATGGTTCACAGACATTCATTGACATTCAGACACTCCCAAGGGGAAGCTCATATAACCAGCCATGAAACCAGAAACGAGCAGGCTAACGGGGCTAACAGGTCCAAGGCAGTTTCTCACCAGGCGGCCACTCCCAGGCTGGGGCCTCTGTAATGGGTATGTAGTCACACCAGGGGCAGCCCACTGGGAAAGCACCAGGCCCGCAGGGTCCTTGGACCAGCCCCACCCAGATGCTGCCTGGGACCTCTAAGGGCCCAGGCTCTAGCAACAGGCAGTACTTGGGCTAGTGAGGGGCTGGGGCTGCCCTTCAGGCTCCAGGAAGGTCAGGCCTGGGGAAGGTGGAGGGGAGAGAAGAAGCTCCGCTGGCTGGGAACAATCTCTCCTCAAAGTTGCCCAGGGGCTGAAAGGGAGGGGGAGAGTAAAATTTTCACTAGGGACAGGTCCCCATGCTTAAGATGGAGAAATGAACCTTGATGGCCATTCGGATGAGAAGCCAGCCTGAGGAAGGGATGCAGAACTTGAGAAGAAAGTCGAGGGGCAGCTGCACTGGGAAATGATGGAAGAACCGTGGGCAGGCCAGGTCAAAGGAAAGCTGAAGGCAGCCAGCTCCCTGTCTGGCTACAGCCAAAGAACAGAGCTTGAGTTCCAGCTGCAAACCCACCATGGCACTGACTTGTGGCCTGGTAACCCCACCCAAAATATACATGCTTTGCAAGAGCTCATTTACACACAGTTTAGGGTCGAGCAGCATGTCTGCCATGACACAGGTCCCCTGAGGCAGAGGCCTGACAGCAGGCTGAGAAGGGGTGGGAGGCCATCATTTTTCTGACTTAGGGATACTCCAATTCAGGAAGATGATTACCTTTATATGTGTGAATATAGAAAAACGTCACTGTCATGACTGATATACTGAGTGGCAAGAGTCAGTACTCTCCACTGTCTCCCCTGAAGCAGTGATCTGGAGCTCACCTGTGGTAGCCCCGAACTCTCAAGCCAGTCTCTGAAGATGCTTTCGACAGACAGATCAAGCCTTTTAAGATAAAAAAAAAGGAAAGGTTAAAAGTCACAGAGCACTGATGACAGAAGGGTCTTTCCAAATATTCAAGCATATCACAGCACCAAAATTCCAGAGAAATCCCACCACCGCTGTCCCAGCCTAAAGTGGGGAAGGGGGCACGGTCACACTGAGTACACCTTGTCTTCATGCAGCAGAATGAAATCTAAAATCAAGGCAGACCATAATAGGTGCCTTTACCGCTCTGACAGGACCGTTTGGGCTGGGAGCCAGTTCAGGGTGGACTGGGCATGTTCGTTAGACACATCAGGCATGACCACCTCCTAAGAGTGGGACAAAATGAAACCTGAACATTACAGCACTTAGTTCATCCGAATGAAATTCAAGCTTTATAGTGACAATGAGCAATGACAACTAGTAAATCACTGTGGGAGCACAGTAAGGCCCAGATACACAGAGCACATGAGGCCTCCATGGCCTCAGCTTTCAAGTGGACCCACGTTCTGCTTTATTTGAAATGTTATGACTGGTCCAGAGTCAGCTGAAATCCTTTTGGTTTCATGCTCCACTGATTTGAATTTTCCTTAAATGTACTAAGTATTCAGTATACTGAGCATCAATGGATTTTAAGTTGTGTTTTTCTGAAGTTTAAAGGAATTCCTCCTCTGCTTCTTGATAACTTTTGCTTATGCCCAGTTTCTCTGCTCACAGGGGCCTTCCTTGAGCCCTCTCCCAGGCTGTGTATGTCGTATTTACCATACTGCCTGTCTTCTGTGTGACAGTTCCCAACATGATTTGTGACACTGATCTATTTGATTCCATGACTTTTAAAAAAGGCTTTATTTATTTATTTTTAGAGAGAGGGGAAGAGAGGGAGAAAGGGGAAACATTAATGTGATTGCCTCTCATGCGCCCCCTACTGGGGACCTGGCCCGAAACTCAGGTACAAGCCCTAACTGAGGATGGAACCAAAGTTCGCAGGCTGACACTCAATCCACTGAGCCACAACTGCCAGGGCAGATTACTTGACTTTTAACTCTCTCTTGATGGGTTGGAGCTCTCTGAAATCAGAGTCCACACCTGTCTTATTCCTAAACCCAGCATTGAAACAGGTCTTGGCGTAAAAGAGGATCTCTATAAATATTTTTTATTGGAATGAAAACACATATCACTATTGATACGATAAAAACAACTCCTTTTAAAGATAATAATCACCTGTCCAAGGAAGATATTTCCAAGTTGTTAAGATGTATATCTTTGTTTTATTTTATATATTATATACTATATTATCTATGTGTTGATAATAGATAATACAGCATCTATCTATACTGTATTATCTATTATCATATGTGTTGTCTGCTGCATTAGTTAAGGTGCTGAAGGCCCAGTACTCTGGTCACCTCATGGGCTGTGCTGCAGGTGAACACAGTGGGAAAGAGAGGGAGGAAAAAAGGGAGGGAGGAAGGGAGGAGTGCGCCTTGGTTGGGGAGGAATGGGGAAGGAGGGGGCTAACTGGTACTTTCCCTTCCTTCGTTTTCCCAGGGAAAAGTATGTGGCTGGTACACTTTGTCTTTCCTCCCCGGGGCAAAAGCAAAGGCACTGAAGGAGGTGACTGTTGCTTTTTTCTAAACAGAAAAAATACACAGAGGGAAAGAGACAATGAAGAGAAAGTGCTTTGGATTCATTTTCAAGATGATGCCCATCAGTAGGAAAACAGGCCAGAGAAGGGGAGAGAGCGTAAGTGAATATGGTGAAGATGACAACTTTGAGAGCATGGTGGTCTAGATTCCCAAACTCAGTGGGTGACTGGATGTGACCTTCTGTGAAAGCCTCCATCCCTGGGCCTCTCCCCTACTTCTTTGTTGTCATTTAACAGCATCAATCTCAGTGTGAATGGCCTCACCCACTCTGTAAGCTCTGAGACTGTGGATGTGTAAGTAGACTCATGTGCATGCATGCACATGTGCACGTATGCACCCATGAGTGCACACTCACGTATGTTCATGAACAAATGCATTCATGTGCCTGTGTACAGAAGCATGTGCATATGCACTCACATGCCTGTGTGCCTTACATGTGTGCTCACGTGCTAATGGACACACATGTGCTTGGGTGTGCATTCATGTATGTGCCCACACGTGTACTCATGTACCTATGTGTGCTCATGTGACTGAGTGCATGCATGTGAATGCACATGTGCATTAATGTGCCTATGTGCATATTTGTGTGCATCTATGTGCACAGCCATGCAACTAAACTATAGAACAACCATCATGCAGAACTGCCTGAAATCTGGCTGAATAGAGGTCTTATAACGAAAGAAATAAGAAGAAATCACACCAAGACTAATAGGAAGGGTGGAGATGTGGAATGGGCTGGTCCCACACCCTTGTGCAGTGGTTAAAAATTGGGAAGGGTATCTTGGCTATGGATGTCCACCCCGAGGAACCAGGGTTCCCAGTTCCATACCAGGCTCTCCAGCCCAGGGCTCCAGTGCCAGGAAGAGAAGTTCCCATAACTTTTGGCTGTAAAAACCAGCCAGGATTGTGGCTGAGTGAGATGGAGGGCTGCTGGAACACCAGGTACTCCTCCTGAAGGGCCCAAGTACAGACTTACTTGCTGACAGACTAATGCTCTCACCAGCAGCACTGGGGAAATAGCCAAAAGATGCCACGGACATATGAGGAGGAACTGAATTGTTTAGCATCTGGGTGACAGCAGGAGGGGCAGCTTACTCCAAGACAGAAATGCTGGGAGATGCCATTGTCCCTTTGCTGAGTCCTCTTCCCACAGAGCCTGCAGGCAGGTGCCATATCCATATCTGAGTCTCCATGATTCTGGTTTACCCCTACCCTGGTAATTCCCTGAAACCTTGGCTCACCCAACATACAGCCCCACCCAAAATCTTTCCAGTGGCTTTTCCTACAAATTGCCTGTCTTGGCTCATGCTGCCAACTTTCCTAAAATCTCTCAAACAAGCAACATCTGGCCTTTGTGTATCACATACATGTTATTAAGTAGTCCCAATCCCAGCGCTAGTGGCAGCTGCCATTGGTTCATAGCTTGGCCTCTTCTGGTCACCTGCAAGCGCAGCAAAAATAGCAGATACAGAGTGATCTGCAGATCACTCTGTATTTCATGCAGGGTTGCCCCAGGTTGGGCATAGGGGACAGCTGATCTTGGACTGCACCTCCCAGTAGTCCCCACAGTCAGTGTACCTGGTAGACAACTTCAGACCACATCAAAGCACCACCCAATCAGCTCCACAAATGACATACTCAAGGAGTGGACTTGGCGGATACCTAAGCCCCACAGAAGTAAATTCTGCCCCATGGGGTAAGTTCCTGCACAGCAGATTCCCCATAATAATTGCAACTCAGTCCTTGAAGCCTACTGGTATGGGGGAGGGGATATCCCACCCATTGATATGCCAATAGCAATCAGTGTTCAACTATAACAGGAGGATGCACACATCCTACACAGGGGGTGCACCTGAAACAGCAGCTAGATGACTGGGGAGGCTGTGCCAATGGGCCCTAGAGGATATCTATTACATAAGGCCACTCTACCAAGACTGGGATATGTAGCAGCAGTCCTAATACATAAAAACAAACACAGGAAAGCAACAAAAATGTGGAGACAAAGAAACATGTCTCAAATGAATGAACAGAACAAAATTCCAGGAAAACAACTAACCAAAATGAAGACATTAGGAGGCAAGCAATCTACCAGATGCAGAATTCAAAACACTGGTTATAAGGATGTTCAGTGAACTTAGGGGAAGTTAGATAAACTTAGAACTTCAACAAAGAAAGAGGAAACATAAAAATGGAGACAAAAAAGAACCTATCATAAATGAAGAATACACTAACTGAAATGAAGAATACATTACCGGGAATCCACAGTGGAGTAGATGAAGCAGAAGATCAAACCTGCGAATAGGAAGATAAGGAAGAAGAAAACACCCAAACAGAATGGCAAAAAAGGAAAAGGAATTAAAAAAATAAGGATAGTTTATAGAGCCTCTGGGATAACTTCAAGCATATCAACATTCACATCATGGGGATGCTGGAAGAAGAGAAAGAGCAAGAAACTGAAAACATACTTGAAAAATTAATGATGAAAAACTTTCCTAACCTGGCAAAGGAAATAGACATACAAGTCCAGTAATCACAGAGAGTCCCAAACAAGATGAATCCAAAGAGGTCAACACCAAGAAACATCAAAATTAAAGTGCCAAAGGTTAAAGACAAAAAGAGAATCTTAAAAGCAGCCAGAGAAAAGCAGTTAATTATCTACATTGGAACTCCCATAAGGCTGTCAGCTGATTTCTCAACAGAAATGTTGCAGGCTGGAACAGACTGGCATGAAATATTCAAAGTGATGAAAAGCTAGGACCTACAACCAAGATTACTCAACCCAGCAAAGCTATCATTTAGAAGGGAAAGGTGTTTCCCAGAACAGAAAAAGCTCAAGTTAATCACCACTAAACTATCAGTACATGAAATGTTAAAGGATCTTCTTTAAGAAGAAGAAAAAAAATATGAATGATAAAATGGCAATAAATACATATCTCTCAATAATTACTTTAAATAAAAATGTATTAAATGCTTCAATCAAAAGACATATGGTGGCTACATGGATAACAAAACAAGATACTTACATATGATGTCTACAAGACACTAACTACAGATTGAAAGACACACACAGACTTAAAATAAAGGGATGAAAAAAATATATTTCATGAAAAGGGAAACAAAACAAACTACCAAAAAAGCTGGGGTAGTAATACTTATACCAGACCAAATAGACTTTAAAACAAAGGCTATAACAGGAAACAAAGAAGAACCCAACAATTCCACTTCTGGGTATTTCTCCGAAGAAACCCAAAACAATAAATTGAAAATACATATACATCAATATGTTTACTGCAGCATTATGACCAAGACATGGAAGTAACCTAAATGTACATCAATAAATGAACGGATAAAGAAAAATTGGTACACAAATACAAT